TGTTCGATATTCAACTTTTCAAATAGGACTTTTACCCGCTGGTCAGTGACTGAAGGAGATCGTAGGCGCAATCGCCCTGAGCCACCCTTGCTCAAAAGGTGGATGATAGGGACGAGAGAATTCCCAGTTGAGTGGACTCGGGAGACCTTTCTCTACTCCCCACCAGACCAGACTTCACCAACAGGTCGAAGGTGGCCGAGTTCTTTAGTGGGGCGCCTGTAACTTGTTTGCATCTCTACAGCTAATTTAGCTTACGTTTTCCCGAAATTGTATTATCGTTCACAAGTGCTGTTAAACTTTGAATCAATTTGTGTCATCTTCAAAAATTTGATCCAGCAAATGTCTGATGACAAGGCGTATTTGAATTCAGCTGTCTTGGATATAATCAGTGCTATAGACAAATTTAGGGGATCTGGAGATCCATGTTTAGATTTCCAACCAATAGTTTTCAAGTTGGATTTTCTGCAAAGAATAGCTGTTAGTCTTGACGTGGATGAACTAGTCTCAGAATTGATTGGACATGCTTACTGGATGTTGGGAGAAATCGATCAAAGAAACCACATTAACTGTGCATATCAAGCTCCACTGCATAATAGAGGGACACGAGGGAGACCTTCCTACGAAATCAGCGAGGAACAGCTTCATTTTTTACTCCAGCAAGGGTTTAAAGTATGTGACATTAGTAAAATTCTTGGGGTGAGTGTCAGGACGGTTGAGAGGAGAATGTCAAAATTTGGGTTGAGTGTATCAGGTAAATAGTAACGTGGATTTTTTATTTTAATGAGAAAATGAACCACAAGAAGGACAATTTAGTATAACTAAATGATAATAATTAGTCCTGGATTGATGCTATAAAAAAGCATTGTTTGATCCTGCAAATACTTAGAATGTATTGCCCACCGGTAGTTACAAAAATTTTTTATTTCACTTTCTGGGAATACCTGAAGGTAGGTTGTTGCACCGAACAGTTGTGATTAGATTTGCAAATTAAAATTTTCTCCTCCACTCAATTGGGAATTAAGGGGTGGCTCAGGGCGATTGCGCCCACGATCTCCTTCAGTCACTGACCAGCGGGTAAAAGTCCAATTCGAAAAGTTGAATATCGAACGCGAAAACTAGCAAGGACAGTGCCCAAAGTCGGAGGTCGGAAGCCAAAACTTAAATGTTGCACAAACAAAAGTTGAATGTTGAATGCAAAAATGTTGAATCGCCAGTGCAAACTCGAATGACAAACGCAAAATGTAAAAAATATAGTGGAAAGTACGATGTAAAATAGAACATTGAATTTTGGCGGAAATGGAACGCCATAAACACGCACATATACAACAAGCTCTGTTGCTCGCTATGTTTGTTTGGGCCGTGCGACGAAGCTTTGCCCGAGGTGAAAAGTTTCAGTCTCAGCACACAATGTAAGAGAAATCGATCAGATTGTCCGCGAAATCTTACCGGAAATTATACTGAATACTTTCGCAGGTATCACAAGAGAACGTGTTTAAAAGTTTGCGAGGTTCGTATAAAACATAATGGTTGCAAGCATTGATATGTCGCTTTAAACGTTAGATGAGATGTAAGC